TTTTAAAATTATCTGAGATCTTAGATACAAAGTACTTTTACTTGATTAAAAGTAATATATATAAATGCAAAAGGTTTAAATAAATAACCTCTAGTTAGATTATAAATATAACATCTAGTATAGAACTTATTATAAATAGACTACTTAAATAGGCAATCAAAAGTTGTATAGATGGCTAGTATAGTATATACTTTCCAAATATATATACAATATAAGGTAACAAGGGCCACAGCATACTATAAAAATTAAACAAAAATCAAATAAAAAAAAACAAAAAAATAATTTAAACAAAAAAAAAAAAAAAAACTATCTTTTAAGCTCTAAAAAAATTATTTTGTAAAAGTTTACTATAAACTATGTTTCTTACTAACTCTAACCTCTAACACTAACTCTAATATTAATTAAAATTATTATTGTTTACTTGTATTTTTAATAAAAATTAATTGTAGATCATACCGTGTTTCAAACACCCCGTGTACACTTAGTAATTTTCAATTAAATAAAATGCCTATAATCAATAATATTTATATTCACCACTAAATTAAAACGGATAAAATAAATTAAGGTATTACATAACGACAAATATGCATGACTAAGTTTATCATATTAAATATGTCGATTCATCATAATGTTTGTGCTTACCTATTAAATAAACGCGAGTAAATGAACATAACAGAAATAAGAGATAACAAGTAACTGTAAATGCCTATGAATAATTTAATAGTTTATCGTAGATATATCGATTAATCAATAATCTTAATACTCGCCTGAAACAAAATTAACTAAAAGGTATTGAGCTTGAGTGACGAACTTAAAAAGGCACACCTCCTGCTAGTAGCATAGGTGCTAAAAGCTTACAATTAGGATTATGATTCGGACAATCCCGATCCTTAAACCGATATGAATTACGGATCTATCAACGGATACGGATACCGAATTATCGGATCTATCCGATTAGTCGGATTACGGATCGAAACAAAGTATAGACGTACGCATAGGGTGTGTGGCACGGCTAAAAAATCATGCGTGCCAGATTAAGGTAGCCTAATTACAAACATAGTGCAGGTCATATGGGATCTTTGCTATGAAAATGACACTCCGAGGCTATGTTGATTTTGTGAATAAAAATTAAATTTGCCAACCATCTATTCATCCAATTCGAATATTATTGTTTTTTTTTTTATTTTGTAGAGCTTATTTAACTCCACAAAATAAAAAAAGGTTCATTTGAATTGGATGACTAGATGGTTTGCAAATTTAATTTTTATTCACAAAATCAACATAGCCTCGGAGGGTCATTTTCATAGCAAAGATCCCATATAAGGCCGTATAAACTTAATAAATCGGTTCTCATAACCCGGCCGGGTCAAATTTTACAAAACTTTACAGCTGTTTTCATAATTCCTGGGACACCTGTAAAAAATTAGCTGAATGATTTTCGGCCGATCCGGTTAATTTATTATTTCGGCATAATAGATTCAAAAAAAAATTGATACGTACTGTACGTACGTACGTAATAATTTTTTATCAGTCACACGATTTGTCACGCATTTTATAATAGTAGGTCAAATGATTGACACACCCAAATTTTATAAGTAAAATTTTGCTTAAATTTGTTTTTTAGGCTTATTTGGCAATAAAGAAGCTGTCGGTGTAATTTCTAGGCATCATTTCACAAATTCTCTAGCATTTGAAGGTTCTTTCTGTGAAATTTCAAGGGGGTCGTTAAAGCGTTGTGCAATCACGTATATGAGGCCAATCAAATTGTTTGTTTTGATCGCCCGAAAAAAAAAGCGAGAAAACGAAGAATACAAAAAAACTAATGTCAAAACCTATATTGATGCACTAATAAAAAAATGTCGGGAAGGTGATTTTACTTATAAAACATGTTCTAACCCAAACCAAACTTAACTTTAACTAAATAGCCAAAACATATGATGCACAAGTCCCTAAATAAGAAAATGGTCCGATATAATTGCACATGATTGTCAACAATTCATTTGTGATTTCAAAGATCAATTTATTCGTTTAGTTACTCAAATTTCATAGAAAATTATATTTTACAAAACGTATAACCATATTTCCTCATTTGGGAATCGTCTAAAGCAAGGTAATTTTTAAGTTGATTAATAATAAATTTGTACCTGGCTTTAGACGTAGGGATAGGAATCGATTTAGTCGATTAAAAAATTTATATGTAAATTATTATGTTTAGTCGATTTGGTCGACTAAATCATATAGCCGATTCCTATCCCTATTTAGACGATCCCTGAAACTACATGTAATATAAAATTGTAATTTATGTAACTCAACCTGCAAAAAAAGTTATATTAACTCGAAATCATGCTATAGTACCTGAACAAGAAAAATCCTTTTTATGAAATCTTTTGAAATTAAAAAACTTTGATTACAAATTCAGTCTATTAATTTAGAAAAAATTTTCGAATGTCATGTAATGCAAAGCGACTAAATTTCCAGATAAGTTAGAAGAATAAACTTGATAACCTCAAACTATACTTTTGGGCTTTTACAATTACAAAACCCTATATTATGTGTTGTTTTTAATTGTATCTTTTTATCATAATTAATAATTAATAATCATTAATAATCGTAAATGATATTATTGGTAGTTGTACTAGAGTATCAAGTATGACGATTATATATGAATTGGTTTATTTTTTGAAGTAAAATCAAGTGTAGTTTTACTTAAAGTTATTGTGAGTGCCAACTAAATTAAATTTTCTTAGCAATTCGCAATTAAAAATCTTCCATAAGGTGCAGCAGTATCAATAAAGTTTCAGCTAACCAGATTTTACAGTTTATAAGTTTATACGTATTGTAGCATATAATGATTCAAATCGTTTAGTTGAAAATCAACTAGTTGACAACTTTCCAACTAATCGATTTAGAAAAACTTAAAACAACTAATCGTTTTAATTATCAACTAGTTCAATTTCGTCTAGTTGGGCTAATCCGGATTGATTTCTTTAGTTTGATTGACTAATCGACGAATTTAGTCACATGATATGAAAATCGATTAGTTCCAACTATAGTTGGCAACTAATCGATTGGCAAGTAAACTTAAATAAAATTATGTAAACTTCCACAAAAAATACAACCCTACTTGTCTGTGAAGTGATTACCACCGATCTCAAACAGGGTTGTAGATATACGAAGAATATTCTAAGTAAACGCAAATCTTGCGCTTATTTAAATTTATTTATCGCTGTTTGCAAAATGATCAAATTTTGCAGATCGTGGTTAGTGTTGCAAATCGTTAGTTGAAAAATCAACTAGTTGCCAACTTTCCAACTAGTTGATTTGAAAAAATTTTAAACAACTAATCGATTAATCATTCGACTAGTACAATTCCGAGAAATTCTGTCTAGTCGGGCAGTTCCGAATTAATTCCTTTGGTTTGATTGGCTAATCATCTGATGATGTCACGTGGTGTGAACAATCGATTAGTTGCAACTATAGTTGGCAACTAATCGATTGGTAAAATATTTACCAACTCGGAACACTAATCGTGGTTAAATGATTAAGAAAATCGCACAATCGCACAATTGAATGACTATCAAGTGATTGCGAACTACGATCTACAAAATTAAACAATTTTGGGGTCGTTTAAAGCCTGCCACCTTAAAAATTACCCAATATGTGTCTCGGATTACTCTACAACAAAAAATAGCTATCTAAATCGGCCTTGATGCATTAAGTATAAGTGTCAGAAATGCGATTTTATTATATATCCATTAACCCCTCGCTTATATCTACCATAACCCAAATATTAATAATTAAAATCGGCAGGTGCCAGGCTTTAAACGTCCCCAATTTTGGTAATGAGCAACAAAATTCGACCCAATTTTTATGAAGTTCTAATCCTTATTAAGTACCATTAAAATTGGTTACCGTTACGTATTTCGTATTTAAAATTCTTAATTTGTTGAGGTTGATATGCTAATATTTATACCCAAAGTTTTTACTTTTCATTTCAAATGAAAAAATGAAGCAACATTATATTTACTTATTACTTTTATTAGCTATATTTACTACTAGCAATGCTTTTACTTACAAAGATTGTCCTCCGTATATTCAACGAAACTCAACATACTTGAATATAACATTAATTAGCCCTCAACCTCCTGTTGCAGGGAAAGATGTCGAAATTACCCTTAATTCAGAAATTGCAAATAATCTTATGGACACTGATAGAATATTTGTCGATTTACACCAGTCTGATGCTACATATAGGTATATTCAGAAAGTTGATATTGGAACCAACCATACGTTCCCGATACCTTCTGGAAATATTGAAGTAATGGTGAAATTTACAGTACCGGACCAAATAAACGTTGCTGACCTCAATATTTCTGCTGTTATTGGTTATTGGGATAGCGAGGATCCTAGAAATAGAAGCCTTTGTGTTGTTTGCTGCTCTGATCAAGTTAAAAATTGGTGAACTTATTAATAATTCAACCAAATATAAAAAAAACCTTAATCGCTAAATATTAAAGCTTTGTCAAAAACATAGTAAGACAGAATGCGTTATTATAGTTTATATAAGAAAAAGATCGGACCTGTGACCTTGGATAATATTGTTTTTATAATTTATTTGCTTGTCAAGATTATATTCAATGAACATTTGTTCTTTTTTTATCGATTTTATTTTAAGTAGCGGCATTTATATTTTCTTGAATCTAATGTTAATTAAGCAACATATTTCATAAGTTTTTATTATAATAATACGCATGTGAAAAGCAAGAGCTCTAATTGTTATTGATTTTTTAATGATTTTAATAATTCATAACGCTACAAAGAAAGTAATCTCCGCCGTAAAACATGTATTTTTCCTCGTTTTTTTTTTTTTTTTTTTTCTGTAATCTATCATAAAAAATCGCTATCAAAAAGATACAAAGAACGTAGGTTCTTAATTGGTTGGAGCGGGGGAAATGGAGTGGAAGACCATAGAGCTATACACTCACTATCCCTGTAACTATGCTAAATTTAGGCCACCATTGTAGAACAATAATCGGCTCATTGAAATCTATGATTTTTAGGAAAGATATAACTTATAACCTCTGCGTTAAATGTCCGAAGTTCTTTGTCCAGTAAAAAAAAAAAAAAGTAATAAACTGATAAAAGTTGGAGGAAGGTATGAATTACTACAAATCAAGAACAAGTCATATAACCTTTCGTCAATTCAAATCTAATATAATTTATTGCACTAATTATAATAAAACAATATCTGAAAAATAGTTTATCTTCTTTTAACATGTCTAATAATTTGGTGATCCAGTTAATATTTCAGCTTCACTTTATATGAAGGGTATGCTTAAGTTGATATTTTTAATACAATCATCAACATCCTTGTTTCCGCTTGTCCACTGTTACGAAAAATTTCGTAATAGATTCCCCATAAAGAGAAATCATTCTGAAAATTATCCAATTTTTTGTTTGAAAAATTGGTTCCGTTTTGAACATTTACATGATGTGGATTGTTATACGTTTTTGAACGATAATTAGCGCTGCGACTAGTGTTGGCAGGCGAAACTATTTTTGGCAAATGGCGAAAGTCGAAACTAAACCGGCGAAAGACGAAACCTGGCGAAACTCTGACGAAACGGCGAAACTCTGGCGAAACGGCGAAACTCTGGCGAAACTCTGGCAAAACCTCTGGTAAATTGAAACCCCTGGGAAAGTCAAAATTCGGCGAAGATCAAACCCTCTAAGACTTTAGAAAAGACTGAGTCACGTTAGTAAATCAAAATATTTTGCATGTGGCTATTAAGCAGCACGTGGCTTATTTAAAAATGCAAAAGCAATATACAAAGTGATAGCTTTTTGTTTGTATTCAAACTATTAAAGAAAATTAGATTTCCGGCTTTTGGAACTTCGAAGTAAAAAGGGTAGTTCGCAGCTAAAGGGTAGTAAAAATCGGCGGAATTACTTATAGCATTTTAATAGTAGTGGAATGGCCAAAGATTTTCACAAAGAGTACTATGTAAACTTCTTTTTACTAAGTCTCTTTTTGACTACTAATTAAAGTTGTAGAGGAAGTTCGTGCGGTTCTAATGGTAGTAAGATCGCTAAATTTGGTCTGGTGA